TCTGTACATTACACACATTACACCTTCTCTACATTACATTAACATGTTAATATATTGCAGCTTACCAGTCCTTAGATGTGGTGACTGCATAGGTTTCCACTTTTCTCGGCTAAGTACATTTTCTGCAAGTACAGAAACAAAATATCTGTTGATTCAGAAATGTGTGTCCTTGAAACTTCCTGCACACTGAACTACAATCTTAAATAATGTTATCAGCTTCCCCAGCCATAGTCTGTACAGAACACCCACCCCACGATCTTATGGAGAGGGGGAGCTGTTTGTAGTCCAATTTAAGAGAGCAGGCTAGGGTTACAATACTGCTCCCCCATAAATACAGTACAGCGAGTGAGCATTATCACCCTAGGACAGGAAGTAGGTGTGGCAGGATCATCAGATGAAAATAAAGGAACAAAGCCTCAAAAAATACCAATGCAACCATCACATCTAAGGACTGGTAAGCTGCAATATATTACATTTTATGTTATTGGGTTCAGCTATGCTTCCGCTTATCTAAATAATTGAATTCATAGTGAATCATTTACATAAATAGTGATTTGCCGTTTGAAAATGATGAGTGTTTTAAAGCATTTGGTGATGATGAATGGTCCATTGACTGTGTTATAAATGGTGGGTAATATTAGACATAGATTTCCCCTTAAAGCAGGGCTTGACAAATTTGCTTTGAATCTAGGAGCCAGCTAAAAAAGTTAGAAGCCAGTAATTTTCAATGACGGTTTTAATTGGCGCACACGTCGATACCTGGCATGTGTAGCACAATCGCTGTTTTCGTACATAGGTGCACCCAACTTGTGTTTCCGTTATGTATGCATGCTTTTGCAGGGGACTTTAAATCTTGTTTTTTAATTTTATTTAATTTAACTTTTTTTTTCTTACTTAAATGTATTGCTATCACATGATAATAGCACATTGGAGATGACATGTTCTCTTTAAAGTGACATAATGGGTCTTTTAGACCCTTAGTGTCACCTTTCCACTTTAGCTGGGGTTTGACAGCTGCCATCTGAGGCAGCTAAATGTAAACACAGTAGCCAGTGGCTGAAAGCAATAGCCAGCCTGCTATTGGCTATTTTAAATTTCAAAGTTCTCCTTCAGGTCAGCTCCTCTGCTGATTGACAGCAGGCAGTGGGCAGGTGCAATAGCCAGCCTGTTATTGGCTACTGCTATTTAAAATACCCAATAGCAGGTTGGCTATTGCTGCTGGCCACTGAATGGGAGACCGGCAGGCAGTTGATGCAAAGAGGGGGCACAGGGGGAGCAGTGGTGGCACGGGGGCACAGCGGGCATATGGGGGAATGCAGTCACAGTGGTTGGCAACCAATCTGTCCTTTCCGCTCGGCACGGGCTGCAGCTGTCTGTGTCCCCTCCAATCCCCGCTGCCTCTGCTGATACAGGCGGGGAGAGCAGCAAAGATCAAAGATGTCACAGACCACAGCAGGCAGCGGGTTCACAGCAGGGAGGACAACAAGAGGTGCTGAGGTGATGCAGCAGCGGAGAACAAGGCGGAGGTGGTGGGGGACAGTGATAGGGCTGACAAAAGCCCAGATGTCAGGATGCAATTTCTAGTCACCATGGCAACCTGGCACCTAGGATTTGTCAAGCCCTGCCTTAAAGAATGGGAAATCCAGATGCTGGATAAACAGTTGCAAATGTACCTTTTTGGGGCACAGACAGCACTTAACTATGTTTTTGATAGTGTCCGTGATCTGCAAATTGATTGATTTCAAATCTGCTCAAATGTAAATACTTGTTTAATCTAAAAATGGTCTGTTTAATCTAAAAATGGTCTGCTAAAGTATTCTAACTGTTATGGGGGCATAGCTACTTCTTTTTCATGTCTATGTAGTTAAGCTAATGACGCTGTAAGTAGATTATGGCATACAAGTAACAGTTATTTGAATTTCTATCCAGCTTCATTTTAATTTGTTAGTAAAGAATAATTGGTTTGGGAATAGTAAGGTTAGTTCATATATCAACTACACAGGGATCTGGAGGTAGAATATTCTTCATGGAACCCTGGACTGCCCACACACAAAAGACAGCGCCTAATTTACACCAGCAGATGTTACCAGACTGTTTAAAGTATCTCTCCACATCCTCCTGAAGAAGTGGCCACGTTAGAGCCAGGGAATGTGTTGAGATGGTGTATTACATACAGTATATTTATTTGAATAAAAGCTTCTAAACTGATGTAACACACAGACTCACCTTCTGGTGCATCTGCTGCCATAATCCCACATTGTTTTTGGGCTTTATCCTTCTTCTTCTATCAGAATACAGAATCCCGCAAGCATCGAGTGCGACCTTCTGCATGGAGACAGAAATATACCCTGCAAGCCTCCCATCACCTGGTTGCCTGATATTGCCAAAGGAACATCCAGAAACCGCATCTATTTAAGTATTGCACATCAATCTTATCACAAACTAGAGTTCCGATCTATATTCCAACTAATACATTCAGCCGGACCTCTCCTGGGACTTTTTTCCTCATTTTTCCTCCTATTATTTTTTGGGAGTTTTCTATCTTTCAAGGGCATTAGACAGTGGGATGCCATGCATGTATATCCCAGCTGCCACATGATCTGTCTGATCAAGCCCCTTTCTAGAAACATGCATGTTCATACATATGGTGCCTATGGCACCGGTCTGCCTCTGGAAAAAACAATAGTGATTGATCAGAAACATTTATTCCGACCAATAAACTTTCGCTGGAGTATGCCTGGTCAAGGTGTGTTAGCCAGGTTAATAAAGGGGCTTAAGAACATACAAACATTTCCTAATGCAATCATAAATGGCCAGATCAGGGATTCTTCCGATTGTCTAGAAAAGGTTTTGACACCAGCCATGCTAAACTTAAAAGTTGAACTCGAGCTCTACCTTTTTCCCCCACAATTGCAACAAGTTATCTCCTGTGTTGAAACAAAATACTCTAAATTTCCTGTAAACATGCATCTCTACAATAAAACCCTTTGAAGCTTTAGCAGCTATCTTGAGCCTGCATTAATTTCCAGTCTGAACGGCCTCCATCATTCATCAATACCCCTTATCCATGTCATCGTTGGCCCCCTCTTTCAATCATTTTGTTGGCAAGCTTTATGTGAAAGAACACATACCTGACATCTCTTTAGACGTGTCTGCAACCAGTCCACCAATCAGCAGGCTGCACAGTCTAAAGACTTTAGCACCCAGTGGCCAGCAGGGAGAAGCAGCCACATCTAAAGGGATCCCGGAGATGATTTCTTTCATTCTTTTGAAAAAAAATTTGAGGCAGAAAGCTGTGACAATTACAGGAGCCTGCAGGCCCCTCTCACCAAACTCAAAGCAAAGAGCTGCAGAGAAACCCAGTTATGATTTTACTGGGTCTCAAAACTGGTATTTCTTGAAAAACTATATGACTTCATTGAAAACAATATAATTGCATGTTAATCGGGAAGGAGGGAGAGGGACAAGGGAAGGTATTGTATTATCTGTATGCTACACTTCAGCTTTAATAAGCATGACCTTTTGTCTGTATACATCCTTTTGTTAAAAGAGAAGGCTATTATTAAGAGCTGCGGATTTTAAAGAATATTACCAACTAATATAAGGAAGTATGTTGAGTATGTAGAGAAAAGCCTTTTCAATTCTGCACTAACCCTTTAGTTGCTGGATTGCCTGATTAGCTAAATCTTTCATTGCGGAAGGGCAGAGCTGACTGCCGATAACCATTAGGAGTGTGGAATCATTTCCAGCCCAGAGTGCAAGTGACGGAAGCATGGAGTGTTTAGGGGCGGTTGCAGTGCTCTATGTGCTTGGCCTTGTCGATTTTCCAAAGACACTTGTGCTGAGTGTTTGTATGTAACTGTGTTTTTAAATTATGCATTTTCCATTTAATGGATGGTATAATATTAAATTCTTAGGAACATGACCGCATACTCCGTGATAGGGATTAAAAAAAGGAATCATCAACACCAAGGACAACACTAGTATTGTTTTCTGAAGCCTTTTTCTAATCTATTACATCCTATTGCAAAACATGCTCTACAGCTTTAAAAGTTCTTATAGAACACTGATTAATTGCTAGTGTGTGAGACATAAAAACATGGCCAGCGAGGTGTTTATGTTGCTAAACTATAGGGAATAAATGCAGACGTCATGCTGTTCTGCTTAAAGGCAAAGTTCTTGTTTAAAAAAATTATAAATGCACACATTTTCATCAAATAAAAAATCTGCCTTTATTATTTTTTGCATTGGAGCTACTGATGTATTGCAAACGTGAACAGTGGATCACAGATGGAATGCTCTGGCTCCTGTAGATTCTTCCTCCTATTCCTGCCTGTACCAAGTTACAGACATTCAGTAACAGGAAAAAAAGGAAGAATGAATGGACTACGGTGACATCACTGCACTTGTATTCCATTGAGAAGTCCCTCTGCCGTGGTGGCAGACAGGACGTGTAGTTTCTCTATTCAGAGATCCTGTCAAATGATCTGTTAATGGATGATGTGGCTGTGTGGAGCCGGAGCCACACACAACCGTGCCATTTTCAAAAAAGAGGCCTGCAGGGAGGTATGATTGAATATGGGTGTAACATGAAACATGGTTTTAGAGGTAAACGTAGCATTTAAGCTATCTGTAAACCAAGACAGTAAGTGATATCATGAAATCCATTACCATACAGCATTCTGCTTAAGCCCCTTTCACATGGTCTTTTCAGGAGGGGATCCATGCACATATCCTCTGCTGATCAGAACGGATGTCACAGTTGTGACATGAGTGTCCATCCAGTTTTTTCCTTCACCTTGCGATGGAGGAATAAAATTAAATTACCGGATCCATGTTGGTCTATAGGGAATCGGGCTGCCCATAGACTAACATTGCGTAACTGATCAGACCTGAAAAACTGACAGCTGGACCTGATTGGACTGCCTGTCTAAAAGGCCTCTAATACAGTACTATAAAAAAAACAATGCTTATCCAGGAGCTGTCAGCATGTTACTTACCATATAATATAGTATCCTTAATACTTATAACATAGAGTTCTGGGTCATCTTCAGAGGATAGTTGTTTCCAGTACGGCCAGTCTTGGAATAAATTTGTGAAGTCCTCTTTGTCCATTACTCCACAAAATAACACAATCACTTTGTGTGGCGGCCTCAGAACAGTCCTCAAGCTTTGCAAGATATTCGGGTTGTCAAGGTTGACTTCCAAATCCCCAGAGAGAAGGATAAGAATACATTTACTATTCTGGAATGTTTTAAGGTATTTACGTGGAATAGGCTCATCTTCACTGAGTTCATATGAGTGTATAGCAAAGTCCCGGCCTTCAGGATGTGTTTGAAAGAGACTGAAAAGATATTGGCACCATTCCTGTGCATCAGGTCCATGAAGTATCAGTAGGTCATAGACACCTGTGAAACATCAAGAAGAAAATACAATAATATAACTGGTACCATTTTCCAAAGTGCATCTTGAGAAACATAATTTTCTTAACCTAACTATTTTTAATGCCGTTGACAATACGAATAATAGTGAAGTGTAGCTATGCAGTCAATCACTTTTAAACTGGACACTTAAACATAATACCGGTATATCCAAAAGTTTTGTAATCACAGTGTATATTCCATCAAGTAATGTTATTAAAACATGAATACAATAAGAGTCTGTCCTCTGTTTTGTTATGTGTGCATTCATACTAGGGATGCACCAATACTAGTATCTGTATTGGTGCCGATATCGAGTATTTGGGGGAGTACTCATACTCGCCCAAATGCTCCCGATGCCTATCCCGATACCGGGACATCTGGTATCAGGAAGTCGGGAGGCGAGTCATTACACGCCGCCCGGCTTCCTGATTGGCCGGGAAGCCGGCTCCATGCTCCCTGGTCACTTGGTGTAATGACTAGTCGCCCAGCCTTCCGACCAATCAGGAAGCTGGGCGGCGAGTCATTACCCGCCCCCCTGCTTCCTGATTAGCCAGAAAGCCGGCTCCATGCTTCCTCGTCACCTGGTAAAAAGGTAGAATGGAGCCGGCTTCCCGGCCAATCAGGAAGCCGGGTGGCGTGTAATGGCTCGCCGTCCAGCTTTCTGATTGGTCAAGAAGCTGGCCCTGTCCTTGACCTGTGAGAGAAGGGGGAATATCAAAGGCTTGTTCCAGCTCTTCTTCACCAGACGTGATAGGGCTCCTGCTCGTGGTGTCTATGTGTGGCTTCTGTGGAGGGAAGAAGGTGTGGAGGTGGGAAGATATTTTGGCTCATTGTATAATTCTGAATTATAATTAGACGGGTTTGTTAGTAATAAAGTGCAAGCATGTACCTATTGCACATCCATTGAACTGTGTTTGGTTAATTAGGGGTTATTGTATGAATTGCACTTTCATCTTACTAAACACAAATTTATAAAAACTGGAGCAGACGGTTCTATGTATCAGTGAACTGTGTATGTATCAACCGACACAATGCCATCTGCGATCTTCATAAGATAGCATCTAAACCATCGGGGCAAACTGTTCAGGGCTCCATTTACATGGCACACCGGGTGAAATTGTAAGATAGCTGATGGGTATTCAATAAGGGCAGTACTCAAGAGATGGACAGTAGGCTCCTCCACTATTGTGATACTTTTAATGCACTGTGTTTTGTGGTTTATGTATGACCTGGTCACAACAGGCATCAGTTGTTACAATTATGTGTTTATGACTGTCTGTATTGTAAATCTCAATAAAAACCATTTGAGAAAAAAAAAACTGGAGCAGACAGAATCTGAAGCAGTTTCCAATCATAACCTAAGCACATTTCTCCCTGTTCTATCACTTTAAGGGCCCTACAAGTACAACAAAGTACCTGTTAATCCGGCTCGAAATGTACTCTGTTCCTAATTTTCTGTTGTGGGCTGACAACACGCTGCCTTTGCTAGACTGAAATGGTTTGCAAGACTTAAACTGCAACAGGGATGTCCTGCACTGTTGTCTGAAATACAGACTGCTCCCCTTCTCTACAACATACAAGAGAGGTGTTCTGTAGTACAAGGGAGGACCTGGGAGGGATGATTAGATTCCCCAAGGTAAGAATGCAAAGTGCAAAGGGCACAGGACAACTCTGGATTTCTGGCAAGACCAACAATATTTATTTGCTCTTGTCAAAAAGATATAAAAAAACACTTTGAGATGTATATTTAACAGATAAATGGAGCAAATAAGAGACATTTATTGTGAGGGTTTACATAGTAATCTCTGCAATATTCTCCTCTGCTATGGGCTCAGCAATGAGTGCACCTGACAGGACAAGGTCCCATTCTGCGCAACAGAGCCAGGTCATCAGCTTTTTCTATACCAATCACTGTAACAGCATGGTACTGTAATCAACGCTAGTTCAATGGAAGTCAGTGACAGCTAATTACAATTTAATCCTTTTTTCCCTTATCATACATTTTTACATCGCTGCCTCTAATCTGAAAGTCAAAACATTTAACCCTGACAAAGCCCTAAGTACTAACAAACTTCTTCCTCTACCTTCTTTCCTTACCTACTTTATTGCCACTTTTTTTCTACTGTTTACTTTTACATTTTTGTTTGCTTTTTTGTAGCGATAATGTTCAAAAATACAAAACTGTTTTTTAAAGCATTCGTTTCATTTGTAAATAAGTCTTGATATGAAAAACATAATATTAATGTCATAATAAATAGGACAATTACAAAATAAACCTTGTATTTTATATCTACAGTAAAATTAGTTGTTATAAATCTAAACAAATGTAGTATACATTTTGTTGTATCTACAGTAAAACTTGTTGTTTTTTATTGATATATCTTTCATTGGTCAAAATAAATTTAAAAAAAACATTTTACTCCTTTTAACTTTTAGACAATTTAATAATCCTTGCAAAAAAAAGTATGTGTTGCTTTGATTTGGTAATGACAAAGATGCCAATTCAATAGACCTATAGCTGAAATGTAAATAATGTTCTGGTCCTTATAGGATAAACAGGAGAACTGTAGCAGTAAGCAGTCACAAATCTGGGAAATTCTTTTCTGTCGCATTCAATTCCAACACAGTCATGTAATCATACAGAAACAGCATTTTGCCTTGATGCAATGACACTTGCCATCAGTCAAATATATTACCTAAGACTTCCAGCATTGTCCTGTATATGATATGATTACCATTAGCAAGTTCAGTGTTTGTATGTCAAAATAGAAGTCCTTTAAGGAAATAGAAGTCCTTTAAAGGATATTGCAATACATTTTAAGATATTAAAAGTTGTCATTTGAGTTTTTACAGCAGGGTTGGTCAACTTACTATATATAGAGGGGGCTTTGAGTGCAGCCACTGATATCGCCATCACGCATAATATTCACATATCACGCATAATATTCTTTTTTTCAGAAATACCTTTTTATTAAGGTTTTACAAACAAATATGGTAGGGATACAATGACAAAATCAGAAGACGTACATACATCATACAGACTATGGTCTCAGAAATTATGTGTTAGGTCCGGGCCTAGTAGCACTCATGGTGTAAGCACCTATAAAAATCCCTGAGTTAAGCGTATTTAAGTTTTGCCACCACACCAGGCCTAGACCGCTGCCCCACTGTCGGTACATGTGAGATCACTCGCCAAAAGGGCAGAAGCAGAGGGCAGCTCCACCATACGTGGGCCAGTGTGCCAGTTCCAGCCTGGCATGTCCAGCAGTTGTCCGAGTATGCGGAAGAGATCTGGTGCATTCTGACCGGGGACCTATACCATCTGGTCAACAGCTTAAAATTCCGCTCCTGTGCATAAGTAGACATGCAAAGTTTATGTGTAAAGCATAGGCATTTGCGACGGTCATCCTCTGAGAGGACAATTCCTGTTCCCAGGCCGAGAAGAAATATAGGGAGTCCCCGCTGGTCGCAGTAATCAAAGCGTGGTAAAGTAGCAAAACTGGGCGCTGAATTGGTAGAGAAGTGACGAATAGGTCCTCAAAAAAAGTGAGAGGCCTGAAGGGAGTACCCGATACAGACAATGCGTCCACAAAATGTCGGGGTTGAAAATAGGCCAGCCAGGAGGCTTGCGGAAGTGGAATGGGGCCGGACAGTGATGTTAGTGGCTGTATAGCGGTTCCCGACAGGCTCTGACATACATAGCAAGGCTCAGAGACCTTCCAACACAGAAAAGTGAGGACCCCACACCCTGCCGGAAAACCCGGGTTAGCAAGGATAGGGGTCATGGGGCCCTGACACGTGGATAAGTTATATCTGGCCATCGTGGTGTTCCATACCCGTAACACCATAGGTGGAAAAAAGGGAAGATCTGAACCTCGCCGTCGGAGGGCAATCGGTAACCGTGGAAGTGTGAATAACGGTACTGGGGAAAGGTCGCGTTCCAGAGTGACCCACAGCGCGGGGTCAAGTGAGTCAAACCAGGCTGCTAGATGGGATAAATGAGTGGCCCTGTAATAGGACTCCAAGTCCGGGAGAGCGGCACCCCCATGTTCTTTCTTCTTTATCAAGATAGTGTATCAAAGTCTGGGTTTCTTGTTCCTCCAGATGTATCGTAGGACAGCCGTGCGGATGCGTTCAAAGAAGCGGACAGGGAGGCCTACAGGGAGGGTTTGGAATAGATATAGGCAGCGGGGTAACAGATGCATCTTGAACAGTGCGATTCTGCCAAACCAAGTATGGTGTAGATTCATCCAGGAGGCAAGAGTGCCTTCCAGAGATTGTAACAGTGGGGCGTAATTAAGCGAGTATAGATCCGACAGGTTAGCTGGCACTTTAACCCCTAGCCATGTAATGTAATCCGACCGCACATTGAAGGGGAGTGAGTCCCGGAGACTGTCCCGTTCAGCAGGGGTAAGGGATATATCTAGAAGTTCACACTTTTGCATGTTCACACGGTAATTGGATAGACCTCCAAATAGTTTAAATTCGTGCAACACCTAGGGGAGAGCCACCAGTGGGTTGGAAAGGTACAGTAGTAGGTCGTCAGCATATAACCCCATTTTATGGACTTGCTTGCCTATTGAGAGGCCCTGAATCGATTGATTAAGTCTGAGAGCGTTTGCCAGGCGTTCCATGACCAGGATGTAAAGTAGTGGGGACAGGGGACAACCCTGCCGAGTGCCATTGTGTATGTGGAATGGGGCCGAAAGCACCCCGTTCACCCGTACCCTGGCATGGGGTCGGCAATAAAGCGCCATGATTTTGTCCACAAAATCCGTAGGAAAGCTCGCCTGGAGTAAAGAGGCTCGTAAAAAGGGCCACCCGACCCAGTCAAAGGCCTTTTCGGCGTCCACTGAAAACAAACAAAAGGGGATGCCTCGCGACTGGGCATAATGTATCAGAGTGATTGTTCGCTTAATACTATCTTTAGCACCCCGCTCAGGTACAAACCCCACCTGTCCCTTATGGATCAGGTTAGGGATGAA